GCGGGGGTGTATGGGCCAAAGGGCCAGCTGCCCCACTCTAGCCAGCAGGTCAGAGGCAGAAGTAGTGAGTGTAACCTTTCTCTTGATTTCTTTCAGGTTAACGGGTTTCCAGCTGCCTGCTCCTATTGTGAGTACAGGGGTTGTGCTGTCGTTATGGCTTGTGAGCGATTATGCGGTCAGTGCTCAAGGCTTCCAGGCAAGCTATGAAGGTAAGTCTGTGCAGTTCAGTAATTGTATCTTGGATCTGAAGTGTTTCACTTATGGTAGGATGTGAGACTGAAGTGCAGAGTTTATACCAGGCTATATACGCATGCAGACACCCTTAATCCAGGACAAGAGTGACTGATTCTTACTAACTTGGTCCATTTTTGGAATTCAGGTTGCTGATTCTTTCTTAGCGTGGGGGAGGGGGAATCCTTGCTGCTTCATCCACTGTACTATGTGAGAAAGTCAAAAACAAAAGCAAACAGAAGACAGCAGTTCTGGTTAGAAAACTCAGTGGAGAAAATGCTTAATTGAAACCTATTTTTTCCCTTCAGTATTTGTTTTCAAACCATTTTTAAAAGCTTACTCTGCAAAGGCACACAGAATGACTCTGAGATTGGAGGGTAACACAACTTGACAGTGGAATCCTCAAGGCTGCAGCAAGTGTAACTGTCCTTGCAGCCTCTAGGGATTCACAGTGGTGAGATGACGGGGAGTGCAGATCAGTGCATTTCTTTCCTACGTGTTCTCTTTTCTCATTCACCTTTTTTTTTTTTTGGCACCTTCTTCCTCAGGTGTTTAAATTTCTCTAAAGCATACCCTCTGTTATCTTTTGTCATAAATAATGTGAAGTGTTTGGTGTTGTGGAATAAAGAATCTTATATGTGAAGGCTTGGTAGCTTCAGAAGATCTTGGACCTCTATCAGTGGAAGTCATTGAATATGTTAAATAATTCTTTGTACTAGAAGGAAGATCATGATCATACTTTGAGTTGGTCCTGCTGAATAAATGACAGATTGACCATGTTATAATTAAATTTTGAGTTACATTTATTTTAACGATTGAACCTAGAATGTTGTCACTGTTCATGTAAACGTTTTTCTTTAGAGTCCTTCAGAGTTATCAGCCATAAAGATCATTTGTGGTAATAAGTCTTGCTGCCCAATTACCCAGTACTTTAAACGAAGCAGATGCCATTATTTAGATGATATTCTAGTCTGTTTTCTACACTGGAGGATTTTTCAGGTTTGGGGGAATTCTGTTTAAATACTCTGCAGTTTTAGATTAAAAACTTAGCTTTTCCCTGAGTGGTCCATGGCGCTAAGACATTTTTAGAAGTCTTTAAATGATCAGTGTTCTAGCAGGTCTTTAGAATGACTGGGGTGGGTGCTGAAGTCCATCTCAGTAGGAGATGGAGTTTTGTTACTCACCAGCTAAGTGTCTGCTGGGGATGCTGTTGGTTGGGTAATGCTTAGAGGCTGTCAGGATAGGTGAAGACAGCAGTGTAGGTGAGGAAAGGGAGATCCTGTGCCTTTTTGCAGAATCTTTGCTATAACGTGTCAATCGTAATGCCCAATAGACATGACAATACATAGTTCCCAAATTGTGTGCTAGAGGACAGTACATGGCACTGAAATTGTGTGATAGAACAGAGAACTGTTTCTGTACTTTCTTGACTTTGGGGTTTTTTTTTGGCATTCAGTCATGTATAGTTACTTGCACGCTCTTTCATGGCTCCCTGTCCCTTTACTGCACAAGCTTGGTACTTCTGAACGCTCTGTAATTGTCCAGGCAGCTCCAGAATTAGCCATGCCTCCTTGCCAAAACTTACTTACGCTTTGGTGAGCACAAAACTGTACGAAACTATAATCTCTATAAAACACGCAATCTCTGCCAGGTCTGAATTCCTAGCTTCACTCGCATGCTCAGAGGACTTACGTCTCATAAGGTGAAGAGGCAGAGGAAGGGAGAGAACTCAAGCCTCAGTTGCTGTTGATAGTCATGTTTGGGGAGACCCTGGAACTGAAATGGCGTTGAGGCAGGAGGCCAACAGCGACATGCAGAGGCGTTGTGTTTATGTTAATGCTTGTCTATACATATACTGTGTTTTTCTTTTTTGTATTTATGCTGTGTGGCTAGTTTCATGTGGTAGAGGCAGGCAGGAGCAGAGATGCATCCCTTCCTCCACACTGATAAATCTAGTCTGACCAATGGGTGATACTCCTGCAGTGAAAGTTTAGCTGTAAGGGTTTTCTAACTCAGTTTGAACTGCACATCAAAAATATTTTCCTTAACAGCATAGAACTTTCTGTAATATTGGTGGTAATAAGTCTACCTTGGTCCTGCACAGTGCTTAGTATGGGTGTATCTCAAAGTCTAATGGGGAACCTGAACTCGGTAGTGCAGCCAGTGTTAGGTCACGTAAGGGTCAGTCTAGTACCCTGGTAATAAGATCACCTCCTAGGCAAAGGCTTTTTATTTTTGTTTGGCATATTGAATTACTAGGGGACTGACTGACTTGGAACCTAATTCACAGGAATGGAGCGTCAGCTACCCGGGAGGGCCTTGGAAACAACTTGCATGGAATCAGAGAAATAATGGTAGAGGTGAAGATTGAGCCCATGGCTTCCGAGATGTTCATTTGCCTCTTAACTGCATGGTTATATTCAATCTCACCATCGTTCCACCAACTATTGGCAGGTCAGGCTTAGCTCAGAGTCTTGCCTTGGGGCTCTGGTTCTTGGCCCCGAACTTCTGGGACAGATGATGGTAAACTTGCATACCAAAAAGGCAGGAATGTTTCTAGACCGCTTGTCACCTTGCTTTTGCGCTTCCTGAAGTGTTACTACTGTTTCTGTTGATGATGACTTAGTATGTGTAACCACTACTGTGAGCCTTTCTGGGACGCAGCTGAAGAGCTTCTGCTTTCAGCAGCGCTTCAGTGCGGTCTATCTTTCATATGAAATTCGTTGCTCGGCCTCTGCCATTTGATTTCTGCATGACTTTCCCATTTTCTGCCTTACATTGAGATTCAGCTCATTACATATGAGGCATGTTTTTATCACAGGGGTCTCAGCCCTCCAATCTTTTTGTCATTGTTATGAATGTTGGAAGCTGTTTTATTATTACTACTAATAATAATGGAATTGCAACAAAATATGACCAGCATTTGGAAAATAGCGTGTGTTTTGACTGAACTTCCTTGATTTTAGGTGTTTGATCTGCCCTAGTAGTTAAATGTAAGTTAAAGTCTTTAGTGTAACGCAAGCACAGATTGACTAATGCCAGCATGTGGGCATGTTTGCCATAGGAGGGTGGTGAGTTCTGCTGTGAGGACAGGTGTGTGAAACATCTGGAACACGTTAGAGAGGAGTCCCCCTCCCTAGACACACTTTCCCTCTGAAAAAAACCAACGACAACTCCAAACTGTTATTGAGTGTCATCTCCCAAGGATTACTTCAATTAGGAGGATGGTTGTTGCCATAATAGAAGACACAAAAGAGCTGAAGGATGTTGTATTTTCGACAAGGGAAGTAAGGGATGTTCAACGTAATTAGGTAATATCTTCAAAAGCTGCAAACAGATTTAATTTTAGTGGAATCATAAAAGATTTTCAGAAACAAGGGCAGGAGGGAAAACACTTCTGTTGCTTTTTGTGTAGCCCACACCTGTGGGAATAGAAGATTGTTTCTATAGTAAGCGCAGTTCCAAAGCGTTGCTGTCCGAGAGTGAAGTTCCTGGGTATGGCTCAGTCTTTTGTCTCCATCACCCCTTCATCACTGGGTAGTCGTGCACTAGAAATGCAGTGTGGCCTCAGAGTGGCTGTTTTGCAATGTTAATTTCTTGATTGCTTCCCTTCTCCAGTGCATTGCAAAGATCATATCTCATGTTATTTTTCCTATTTTTTCTGGCCTCCTTTGCTCCCTCTTTAAGGGCAAAAAAAAAAAAAAAAAACCACCCTGATCCCAGTGTGTGATTTTGAACTGAGATAGCTATTCTGAGCTAGAGTTACGAGTTTTGCCCCCTACCCCCGCCGTGTCCCCAAAGTAGTTCTTAAAAGAAAAATCAAAAGTTTGTGGCTGCTTATTAAAAGGAGGGGGCAGCAGGAGTATGACAGCGTGTGAGTAGCCACAGATATACCAGAGATCCAAAAGAGATAACTGAGTGCATCTTCCAGAGATAAAAGGATAAAGTACTCAAAACTTAACCTGAATGACAGGGAGAGTTGCTGTAAATTAAGCCTCATCTTCAGAGATAGAGGGGCAGGCTTGCTGATGGTGTGGGTCTGAGTCTTCCCCAAAACAAGCTACTTGTTCACTATTTGGACTATTGTTAGTTAAGAGTGAAGGAGGGGATAACTGCCTTTTTGATCAAAAGGGAACATGCTGTTGCTGTAACACTGTTTCAGTTCATTGGTAATCTACCACTCAGTGAATAGCTTGTGTTGGATAATTCATGTTTAAAGACAGAACAATGCATCAGAGTCCTTGCTGTAAATGGCTCCTTTATGATCTGCTATCAAAGCATGTTCATTACTCTTCTCCCTCTAAGCAATCAATGGGAAATGCACCAAAAGAAGCAGTCTTTAAAAGAGGAACAAAAGATCTCAGTAACTTTTTTTTAAAAGGACCGGAAGAAAATAGATGAAGGCATCAGTGCTCCAAAACCATTGCGTTTGCACTGATGTCTACTCTGGGAAATAAGTAAATTGAGGTTTGCTTTATCTAAGTTAAGATCTTCCTAACTTACCTAGTTAGTATGATAAAATCTCTTCTAACAAGCAATTTCCTGTGAAGAAAACGGACATTTCGTGCTGATGCCTTCATATACATTTTTTCAGTTCTGCTTATTTCGGGATACACACCATAGCTGGACGTTTCATTGGTTAAAAAGGAGCACTTCTGTGCAGTGGTAGCAGTATCCATTCAGAAATGTTTCTACTATGAGAACATTCAAGAGTTGCTTTAAGGTAGGTATAGGCAAAGTGAGTACTAAAGGTACTCGTCAAGGGTGCGGGACCCCTTGATTAAAGGCACTACATCACAACTTCAGAGACTTAGCTTCTGTTCCCAGTTCTGGCATAAGTGTTCTGCTTGATCTTGTGTCTGTAATGCAGTCTGGGTTCCCGATTTCCATGTTGCAAAATAAGGTTAGAATTGCTCTTGGTCGTACATGGTGTTATGAGTTTGAATTCGTGAAAGCACATACAGCATTCAGACGCTAT